TGCTTATCCGACGTTCTCACCCCGAAGAATATGCCCCAAGAGAACCGCTTGGCCGACCAGTCCAGGCCTTGGGCGTCATCAACTCACGGCGTCGCGCGCCAACCCAGATTGGCCCCATGGCCCGGATATGTCAGCTGGGCGGGGGGAGCGAGCGAACCGGGAGCGCCCCCGCGTCGATTTCTGCGGATTAGCATTAGCATCCAGAGGCCCACCAGACGCCGATCGCGCTCCTTTGGGGGGCGGGGGGGTCAGCGAGCGGGGAGCGCCCCCGCGTCCATTTCTGCGGGTTGGCGTTTAGATGGGCCCCAGAGGCTCATCCAGAAGCCCGGCGAGCTGGGTCGATTTTTGCGGGTTGGCGTTTGGGCGGGCCCCTGGGGCCCATCTAGACGCCGATCGCGATCCGGGGGTGCCCCTCTATCCAGACGCCGATCGCGCTCCAGGGACCCCGCCGAGCTGGGGGCGCCCCCGCATCGATTCGCGCGGGTTGGCGATTGGGTAAGCCCCTATAGGGCTCATCCAGACGCCGATCGCGCTCCTGCGAGGTGAGCTCCAGCGAGCGGGGGGCGTCCCCGCGTCGATTTCTGCAGGTTGGCGTTTGGGCGAGCCCCTGGGGCCCATCCAGACGCCGATCGCGATCCGGGGGTGTCCCTGCGTCGGTTTCTGCGGGTTGGCGCTTGGATGGGCCCCTACGGTGGGGGGAGGAGGGAGGAGGGGGGAGGAGGAGGAGGGGGAGGAGGGAGGAGGGGGGAGGAGGAGGAGGGGGAGGAAGGAGGAACACGAGGAGGAGGAGGACGCGGAGGACGAAGACGACGAGGAGGACGAAGCGGACGAGGAGGACGAGGAGGACGAGGAGGCTGAGGTCGAGGAAGGGGGCGAGGAGGAGGAGGCGAGGACGAGGGCGAGGAGGAGGAGGAGGACGACGACGAGGACTTGGGGGAGGAAAATGCGGAGGAAGAGGAGGAGGAGGAAGAGGAGGAGAAGGAGGAGGCGGAGGAGGAAGAGACCGGGGAGGACGAGGAGGGCGAGGATAACCAAAAATGCGAGAATGGCGATGAAGACGATGAATACGAAGAGGCAAAAGCTCTTGCCTGCCCTGCCGGCTCTGCCATCCCTACCGGCCCCGCCGGTCCTGTCGGCCCTGTCCGGCCTGACGGCCCGGCCGGCCCTGCCAGGGCAAAACCTCGACCCAAGGAAACGAGCGAAACCCAGGAAACGGGAGGAGGGAGGAGGGATGAGGAGGAGGGGGGAGGGGTGGAGGATGGAGGAGGGAAAAGGGAGGAGGGAGGAGGGGAGAGGGCGGAGGGAGGAGGGAGGAGGGAAGATGTAGGAGGGAGGAGGGAGGAAGGAGGAGGGAGGGAGGGAGGAGGAGAAGGAGGAGGAGGAGGAGGAGGAGGAGGAGGAGGAGGAGGAGGGAGGATCCTCAGAGGAGGAGGAGGAGGATCCTCGGAGGAGGAGGAGGAGCACCACACTTTAATGTCCCGCCCGCCCGACCCGACCCGCCCGTCAGGGTCCGGCCGCCCGACCCGACCCGACCCGCCCGTTAGGGTCCGCC